GCCTGCATTTAACTCAGGGTTATTTGACCCTTGAAGCCTTCCAGAGTACCTTTGATAGCGAGCTGCTGGTCTCAGTTTCCCTTAGCCAAAAAAGGAAACAGAATTTGAGAAGAAAAAAGTTTAATTTGTCGATGAATTGAGGCAGACAGCAGATTCGTGTCTGAAAGAACCACCGTCCTGCTCTTTGGCAGAGGGCAGGGTATTCACCCAGAGCTACAGGGTGTAGAGGGGGGAATGGGCCCTGCGGGCTCAGCGTGTCCATCCTTGCAACCTAAGTGTCTGGAGGTTTCCGTTGCCACCTTGTTCGGCCATCCCCTGGTGGTCAGCATTTCAGATGTTATCTTCCTAATGATGCTCTTTTTCCTCGGAATGTAAGAAAAAAGGTTGTTAAGCCTAAAGGGTAAATAAAGGAAACGGAGAGCTTAGCTGGTGGGACAGAGAGACAAGTCCTTCATTCTTGTTCCACCTAGATAAAAGGAGCTGCTTTAAAAGATGACCAAGACCCCGTATGGGCTGCCAGGAACAGGAAAGCCAACTTAAAGTGTTTCCGCAATCAGGAGAATTTTCTTGCTTCCCAAGAAGCCCAAAAGTAAGATGGTTCTAGAATTTAATTCAGCGACCTAAGACCTAGTCTTTTCCATGGGCACAGTAGCTTCGCAGTTGCAGTCGTCACACGCAGACTCGACATCATCCACCTACAGAAGAGGGTCTTTCTCTCGCCTGTGAGGGTCTTTTTTTTAACTGAAGAGACTTTTCTCAGAATGTCCACACCCCCCAAACTCCCCTTACCAGAAGGAGTTCGCATGTCCATGCGGGAACTTCTCGTGCCAAGAAAGGGCACCAGTGGTCAGCATGGACCATTGCATCTGAACTCCATGGAGTGAGGAAGGTGAGGCAAACAACGGAACAAAATGGGGCGCTGCCAGAATGCAAGAAGACCCATGCATGGAGACTCCCAGATGCTTTGTGCATCTGAAGGGGTGCAGCCAAAGAAAAGAGGCAAAAAAAAAAAAAAAAAAAAAAGGAAGGTCCTAAGTGGAGTTCTCTAAGCTCCTTTGTCTCTTACTCAACTCTCTGACCGGCCAGTCCATCTTACCAAACCTGGCCCCAGACCCTTCCAGGGGGACCTGGTTTGTGTCTCCCAAAGCCCCCCCATTTGATTTATACTAATTAGTAGCAGAGTTGGCTCCCCGTCTGATGTTCTCACTGCTAAATCAAGATTTTGAACACATGAAACGTCATGGTGACAGAGAGTCCTCATAAACAAAGACAATTAGAGACAGCAGGCCCCTGGAGTACGGCAGCTTGAGGAACTGCCTCAAAGGGGCCAAGCTCAGAACATAAAAGATAAGAAATGGAAAACAGTATTCCCCGGGATTCTAAACATTTTTGTTTAAAAGAAAAGTTCCCATAATGCCGTTTGTGCACTGAATAGAAATCTGCTATGACAGATACATTATTCAAAAGAGGACACGTATCATTTTTTTTTTCATAATTCGCCTTTCCTCTGCCAACTTCCTCTAGGTTTCTTAATCACTTCCATCTACATACCAAAGAAGCCTAGTTTTGTTTCTAGCTGTAGCTTCCTTATGTTTAAAGTGCAATTCTTCTTTATGCCAGTGCCTATCATTTTATATTCAGTAGATATGTAATAGATACTAAATTAAAAAAAAAAAAACAAAACTCTTCTTCTTGTTTCTTTCACTGGTCCTGCATGTTTGCGCCTGATTTGTATTTTCCCTCACCTTTCCCTCCACCTCTCTGACCACATGTTCCTGACAGATAGAGAATATCCAGGTGGCCTGGTACTTGGAAACTTGTCAGATGGTATTCAAAGCAATAAAGAGCACAGCATACAAGTCTTTGGTATATTGTTACAGGGAAACCCTGTTTAGAATTCACTAATTGGGAATTTGTGATCATTCGAGGAAGGGCTGGCTGAAGTTAACCTTTGTACTATCTATGAAAAAAAACAGAGAGTTCACTGAAGTTCTGAATAGTGTAAACAAGATTGGAAGGGGAATAATTATCTACTTAAAAGAACCAGTTGTTTTGAAAAGCTTTAGAAGTATCCTTTTACATACAAACAGGGTAATTATGATTTAAACAAAGACTGGCCTGTTTCTAAGGCTTCTTTGAAATGTCAATTACAAATTACTCTTGTCTATTCACCAAGGCAAAACCCACTCCTGCTTACCAGGCAACAGTTGGTTAGCTTGCTTCCATTTACTCTATTTGAAAATAATAAACCCTAAAGTTCTTTTTTAAGTCGTATAATTTAATTCAGGCTTTTCACTAATCTAGACAGTCGGTCCACTCTATAGTGTGGGTGAAGATTTACTCATTACTAGCACACAACAATCAGGCATGCATGGAGCTTTGATAACTGCCTTCACTAACTAAGTGGAATAGCTGAGGAAGACAGAAAATCTACAAAGAAAACTCCTCCCAACAGTGCCTTTGGTTTTTTTTTTTTTTTTTAATCTTACCATAGAAAAGAAACACATTTTGCATGGCAACTCAGCACACATACACTAAAACAAAAACAATGCCTACCCTATTCTGTGATACTGTGGTTATTTTCTATTTATTTTTTAATAAATGCAAGTCACAGCCCACTAAATTGATTTCACAATCCCTCAATGGGCTGCTGTTTTGAAAACACTACTCTAGAATCTGTTGGGAGAGGGTGTTCCTATGAGAGAAAGGGGAGGTAGTGAGAAAGGATGGGCTTGCTGTCTTTGCTTCTGGGGTGCGCCCCTCATCCGCCTCTCAAATCCTTAGCCATCATGTCTCCTCTGATCACGACTGCCGCCTGACCGTGGACATTCCCTACCAAGCTCATTCCGAACCTCATGAACCCTCCTTGGCCAGCTTTCCATTTCTCCCTTTTCCAAACCACACTGAATTTCTGCCTGATAAGTTGGTCAGATTTCACCCTGCAGATGAGGCGAGCTCATGCTGTCCAGCCACCCCACTAACTGTGTGACGTCCCTCAACTTCGCCGAATAGCTCGCGGAGAAACCGCCTGGGTAAGAGAAACTGCCAGCTGGCAGGATGAGCCGCCCTGTCTAACAAGCGGACTCAGTCACGGGCCAGACAGCCGGTCCACACAGTCTGGCCCCCACGCTGATCAGGGGGCACCGAGAAAGAAAACAGTGCTGGATCCTGACTAATGATGATCTTACAGTTTCCACGAGGGAGACGCCCAGGGCTGACAAGGAGAGTTGGAACATAACCCGACTGCGCATGCCCGACTGTAGCCCAACCCAGAACAAGCCGTGACGCTGCTGTCCTCTGTCCCCGCCTCGTGGACCGACCCCTTAAATAGCTCCTCTAACACCCTTGCAGGAGCCAGGCTAACCTCCTGCACGGGCTCCCTCATGCATTCATCTCTAATAAAACCTTGCTTGGTTCCACTACACCTTGCTTCTCTGGTGAATTCTCTCCCTTGAGGAAAGGTACAGTAAGTTCTGCTTGTGGAAAGTGTGAAAGAGGAAAGGAAGTCTTCATTGAAAGATTGATATCTGACGTGAATCTTGAAGTTGTCCTGCTTTTCACTTGCAGCTTCAAGTCTGTTCCAATACTGGGGTGATCTGAATAAGACAGGGCTCCATAAATGGGCTCAGAAAGGTCACTCCGTGTCCAGGATTCCAGTGACTTAGTTCCAATGTGGAGTTCCCATTGCCCTCTGACTCTCTTTGTTGCAATCAGTTAAGAAGCCTGCTAGTATGGAGCTCTCTAAGCCTAAAGTCTCTGTGATCTCTTCCCCCAGGCCCCACAAAAGACTAAATTCTTGGTATGAAGCTGCCCTTTTTATCATACTTTGTTACCTAAATCCTTCCCCAAGTCTTAATCCTTCTTTGAACGCTGGTCCTGTGACCAGAACCCCCTGCTGTTTATTTCCTCTGCCAACCTTCTTCTCTGAGATCTGAATCTTGTTTTGTCTCCTGGATGGGGTTCTGTCATTCTTCTGAAGAAGGAACTCCCATAACAACTCATCTATCTAAGCCTGCTTGAATTCCCCGCCACTGGGGTCTCCATGAAACTGGAAAACCCAGCCCTAACTATGTCTAGTTTGAGACTAACTTGTGGCAGATTCTGTTTGACCTAATTTCAATCAAGCTCCTTTGACCTCTCGACTAGATCTCAACTTTGGTGTCTATCCTGTCTTTGGCCTGGACAGAATACAGCTAGGTCAGTTTAGTGACCTTCTTCATCGCTGGTTATCAAACCCCACCCTTCCTTGCCATCTGTGGAGATGAGCTCTATTTCTCTCCCTTCTTGCAATAGCCTTGACCCCTATTACATAGTGTTGAATGAAGTCTTCCTTGGCATTTTACTAAATGCCAGAATGATTTTTTTTCCCTTTAATACTTGCCATGCCTTTTGTCCAATAACCACGGACAGCCAACAGCCCAGCTGCCCCTCTGATAATGCCACCTCCCGCTCCTTGTCTTAACCTCGGAATCAGATCTGTTACAGCTTTTGAGCTCCTCTGCTCCTCTTCACCAGCATGTAGCTGATGCTTGTGTAACAATATAACTTTGGGAGAGTCACCTGAAAGTATGGACTTGGAGAATATGGTCAATTCTATTTCATAATTCTATTCACTTAATTCACTTAGTCAGATAATAGACAAACTGAAATGGTTTCTGAACACAAATATATTTTCAAAGAGCTTCCTTATTTGTATACAGACAAAAACAAAATACATACACTCAAAGCATAAAATCTCTGTCTTGGGCTCTTTTGAATAAAAAACCATGGCAGGAGCAGAACTATGATGTTCCAGCGATGCCATAAACAAATTCACTGGCCTGTTTGGGGACAAAAAAGTATCTGAAATTTTACCACTTAGGTTCAAAGTATGATTTTGTTGTTAGTAGAGACTTTTTTTTTTATAACCGCCTCCTCACCTTGAGCTCTGGTAATTTTTCATGTTTCATTCATCTCTTCATTCAGCTTCTAGTAAGGTAAGGAGTAACCAAATTAAAAATTTACTGATTTTTTTTGTTAATGTTAGGTAAACAATTTTCCTCCTGAATATCTCCCCTCGTTGGGGTTGTTACTGAAGTGTTTTGAAGGAAATGACGGATCAACCATTCATTGGTTCTCATGGCTTTGCAGTGGAGACAGGGCCTCTCCCTGATTTGGTGATTTCCCAGATTCTTTTGCCTCTTTCTCTTCTTAATAAGGTGGTGTTCACTTTCACTTTCCTTCCATGAAGATGCTCCAGAGTTAGATTCGTCACTGTCACACTCCGTAGTATCACTGTCAAGGGTCTGATTCTCCTGGCTGAATTGAAAATGGCGACTGACTCGTCTTTGTTCAAGATAGGCATTGACCAAAGCCACTTCTGAGTTAGTTACAGGGGTAAGTTGGCTCAGCCTTGATTTTTTCATCATTTGTGAAGAGTCCCAGGCACCATCTTTGTTTGACCGCTTATGAGAAGTATCTTTGCTTGCTAACAACCAACAAAGCAGATCAATCAGTTAGGCATTTAATGGGTTACTACAACCTCACCTTATCTAATGAAGCCTATGTATGTGTGGGTTCATTCCTACTAATTTTATATTACTATTTTTCTCCAAGTCATACCTTCTTCCACTCATCTGCAAATATTGACACCTTAGTGCATTTTCCAGTAAAATACCAAATCTCCACACACCAGAAGGGTTGGACAGTTATTTGGTATATTATTTTTAAAGTTTTGTGAACCAACTCCTGGTATTAGATCAAGGGAAAATTCTCCAAATTTTTCTAGGAAAAGATCTTTTATTTCCTTTGCCTTGAAGTCTTAAAAATTCAAGTGTGGGTATGAACATGATTTGGCTATCCAGAAACTATCTTTTCATTATATAATGGTGTGCCAGGATTCGCCTATATCTGTCAGATCACAGAAATGATTTTTAGACTTTCAGATATTTTATGAGCCATTAGTACAAATTAAATTATGCAAACTTACCATTAAATCAATTTATTATGAAGAAACATAATATTCAAAACCCATCATTTACTAATTATTTCACATTTTATTATCATGTATTCTCTTGAAGCTATTTATGTCCATTGTACCTGAATATTAGAAATACTAATAATGAGGTGCTATAGTGCATCTCTTTCCAATTCTATGTTCAGTGACAAATGTTAGAAACTTGAAATTGGTTTTATGGGTTAAAAAAGCACAAATGCTAAAAATCAGGACTTGATATATGGTTTTGTTGATTGGCTAAGTTTAAGAAAAAGATACAGAACATGTTACCGACATAAATTACATTGAAAAGTGTCATGCCTATAGCCATGACATTGTGAATGACATCTAGAAATGAGAAAAAGTGTTCTACACCCTTATACAAGTCAGAAAAGAAGTCACTCACATCATTGACAAGCAAACTAAATTCCAATATATATTTTCCTATTGCACTTTTATCTTACTCCTTAACTGAAAGGTAAGTAAATTTCATATTGGAACTCTTCTTGTTCATAACTTGCAGTCATAGGTTGGCTAGAGCTGAAAAGGTCTGACAAAAATCCAGGAAATTATTTTGCAGTAACCAATTTTCTACATGGAACTAAACATAGTGTTACATCTTTTCTTACTTTTTTATTGGGTGAGGCAATGGAATACTACTCAGCAATAAAAAAAGATAAGCTCAGGTCATTCACAGCAACATGGATGGAGCTGGAAGAGATTATGCCCAATGAAATAAGTCAGAAGGAAAAATAAAAGTATCAGATGGTTTCACTTTTAGGAGGAACATAGGGAAACCATACAAGGAATCAGGAAAAAAAAAAAGAGAGAGAGAGACAAAAACAGCAGGCAAACTATAAATCAGAGACATTCATCAGGGGAGTGGAAGAGAGAGGGAGCAAAATTGGATGTAAGAGCCCAAAAGTCTAGGGTGACCATTCATGGATGTCTTGGTGGTGGGAATTTTATAGGGACAACATCTGAGAGGAGAAATTAAACATTGTACAAAAATGAACAATGATATAAAAATATATAAATAAAAATGAAAACAAAATAAAAAATATATTGTGTGATTTACACCTTTCATGTTAATTTTTAAAAATTAAGAAAACATGTATACACACATTTTTAGGGAACCAGTTGTTAAGCATTTACCAGCATAACACTGGCTATAGGTTACTGGAAAAGATGTAACATTTAGCAATAATTGTGTAATAGAGCTAACAATAAAGGCATGTGTGACAGGAGAATGCTACAGAATAAAAACAGAACTTGAGCTCTACCTATCAGTAGTTTACAATCTCTTCCGACTTTGCTAAATCAGCTATGCTATCTTTCTGCTCTAAAGGAAGGACCCGGGGTCCTCCCTAGTGGCACTACAGGTTCAAGCGCAGCACTATGAAGTTATCTGCAGCCACTGCAGCACAAGTTTGATCCCCAGCCAGGGAGGTGACCCACACGGCACAGCAGACCTCTCCTGTCCCGCCCGCTGCTCCCCTTGCAGTGTATTTAAGTCCATCTGCCTGTTCTGCTCCCCACTCTGTCTCTGGTGAATCCACTCACCACCACCACCCCCCCGCCCCGCAACTCTTGCCTGTACCTCAGTTCTTGTAAGCATAAATAATAAATCTTTTAAAATAAAATGAAGGAAGGACCCCTCCCATTGGTAAGGGCAGCCTTACCAAACTCTGAGCTGTTCATCTTTGCTGTTTGCTCCCCACACTCAACACATATTTCTCCCATCATATGCTAATACCATGTGTGTCCTGGCACTCACCTTTACTTACTGAAGTGCTTGTCCCACTGTCTTCATCTTTTTTCTTCTCAGACATCTGTTTCAGAAATGTAAATTAGTAGTAGTGATGTCAGTTGGTTGCTTTTCGCTCACACTTACTTGTTAAGAAACATAATTACCCTAGACCCTTTCTATAATGTTTTATTTTAAACATTCAGTACAGTTCAATAACTATTGAGTTTTTGTTATAGTCATCTTCTGATGTCTGTTCTAGGAGACCAGGCTCTGATAACAGACTCTATCAAAATATCTGAACCAAGTGAAATGGAACAAAGACTTCAGAGAAAATAATACTGATCAGAATTATAGGTTATAAAGTTTTCTTCCACTCACATTTATAGAAAAATGACACAAACAGGTTTTATTATACTAGGATAAGTTTATAGTTACTTTTTAAAGGACATTTTTAACAGGTCACATGATTGATAATTCTTTAAAATCTTTACCTGAATTCCTAGGCTAAATATATCCTAATTCATTTAGAAACATTCCTCAAAATGCAACCATACTATATCATCTGTGAAGATAGGAACCAGAAGAAGTAGATTTCTTTGAGTAGTTCCATTTTCAGATATTCTTGCCCCATTTTCCAGATAAGTTTCTCACTCTTTGGGCTGAAATGTCTTTGCCAAAGACACAAATATAAAACAACTCTTTCAGAATGTTTCAAAAATGTCAGTAATATTCCTAACACTTTTGACACATAAAAATTCTTCTGGAAATCTATCACAAGGAAATAATTCCCCAAAGAGAGAAAGTTTTGTGCCCAGAACTATTCATCCTGGTATAATAAATGGATCAAAACATGAGAAAATAAAATTTTGTTAAAAATCAAGATGCAAATTTGGATAGGCAGCATCAACACAAATTAGCTAAAGCAGGAAAAAAAGATTTTAAGGTATGTATGCAAGTATTAGCAAATGTTGACTTTTTTGGAGTGGCAATACACCTTTTCCCCCTTCCAATTCCTTAATCTGTCTACAACTGGGGCGTGGGGGTGGATTTACATAGAAAGTCACATTCCTTTGTGCTGAAAGTGCCCTACTTGGATATTCTTAATTGCAATCTATCGTCCTTGGCCCAGTCCTTTCTAAATATCTGTCACACCAACGGTAGGTGAGTATCTCTAACAAGGTACCTCTCTGTTTGCATTACTGCAATTATTCTCTTTTTTGTGCAGGTCTGAAATATTTTAAATTTAATATACATCGAGATGATTATTAAGAGATTAGTTTATAAACCTAATAGTTAAGTAAATGGTTGTTTCTATTTAATCTAGAGCGACCTCTATTTTTTCTATTTTCCTGCCATTTCCATATTTTCTATAATGCCTACTTTTGTACTGGAAGTGGGAACATGTTTAAAAACACTTGGTTTATATCATTCTCACAGAAAGCCTTCTTATTTGATTTGATGTCTAATCAGTACATAATCACAAAATCAAAAGAAAGATTTTTACATCCAGCTAAGTGAAATCATATGAACTGTGGTTACCCAAAGCATTTTATGAACTGTGTATGTGTGTGACTCAGTGAGCTAAAATAGCAGTTGTGTCTCCCGGAAGGGAAGGATGGGGGGCCAGCTCTGCCTTTTGCCGCTCACCAACTCTATGATAACACCTCAGTTTCCACATAAGCAAAATGAGGAGTTTGGACTGGTATTGTCAGGAAAAATCCCAGCACTGGCCGTCTAAATAAACACTGAACAAACATACAAGCTAAATATAGCACTGTAAGCAAAAGGGTAGAGGCATCTTTAAAAGTGGCAAATCCAGAGGAAATGAGCGTGCTTCATGTTTGAGGATAATTACCACCATATTTCCATCACGCTTTCAACATTACTTGGAGGTTTGTAAATAAAGACTCAGAGTTAAGCAGGGAAAATGAAGTTCAAAGTGAAGGAAAAATTCCATCCTCCTTGACTAGCTCTCATATGGTTCTCAGATTTCAAATCTGGGACCCTTCAGGAGCAGCAGTCCAGCGGACTGTAGCTGCCAATAAGGATACAGAGTGAAAGACAAAACCTCTAAGATAATTAAGGTTTTAATGAGCACTGAAGAGTTTTGATTCAACATTTGGAACTATGTGTGGAAGCAACAAGTAATATGGCAGGAAGCCTGGGTCTCTTTCACTCTGTCACTAACCACCTGTGGGACACTGGAAAATCGCTTAATTTCTTTGGGCCTTATCAATAAAAAAAGGCGGGGGATGGGTGGGTACTGAGTCTTACTTGCCTGTAACAGGAGGCTGGACCTAATGCTTTTTTTTTTTTAGCAGTTATTTATTTATGCATATAAGAACTGGGGTACAGGCCAGAGGTGCAGGGGGTGAAAAGATTCACCAGAGACAGAGTAGGGAGCAGAACAGGCAGACTGACTGAAATATCCTGCTGAGGGGAGCAGCAGGTGGGTCAGGAGAGATGCTGCTGCGCCATGTGGGTCAGCTCGTTGGCCAAGGATAGAACTCGCACTGCAGTGGCTGTGGAGAGCATCATAGTGCTGCGCTTTAACCCACTGCGCCACCAGGGAGGGCCCATGAACTTTGTGCTTTTTTAAGGTCCTTGAAGTTCAGGACTTTATGACTCCAAAGAGCTGATGCAAGCAAGGAGTAAAGGAATAGCTTAGACCTCTGTAGTCTTCATGGTGAACTTGCCGGGAATCAATTTCAATTTTTCGCTAATTTTCTAAAGTAGTATTTCTTGCCAGGTTAGACAAATTCAATATACTTAGCTAGGGACTATAAGACATGTATAAGCTATCGCTATTCTAAATCTCCTTTTGGCAAAGAATCTACCCAAAGAAGCATTTGGACTTTAGATGAAGCTTCTCCTTCAGGGAGAGGAGGCCTTGAGGGGAAGCATCTTTGATTATTATAATGGAATCCATCTGGCAAAGACTTAATAACAAACCTCCTCTCCATCTTGAGCTGATAGTGCCCCAGCCTTGCTGCCCATTGCCAGCCGAGTGTTCTGTCTATAATACCAAATGATGGTGGTTTGATTAATCATCAGCCTAGTGTTAATGGCCGAAAAGGATTCCATGTCAGCAATTTATAAGAGCTCAGTTACTCATAATATGTTGAAACATCATAATGCTGACAAAGTGAGTTGATTCCTAAGAGGATGCCATTTCCTTCTGCAAGGAGGTGTCAGAGTGGTGATTAGTCCTGTTTAGTTTAGTTCTGCATCTTATTCTAGGAGAAGAATATTCTGCTTCTCTATAAAATCCCCTGGTCCTATATTTATCCTATTAAAATTAGGGGATACAAAAAGAATTTGGAAGTCATTAATCACTAAGGAAATTTACACAATATTACATAGCATATAGACCAACTGCAAACCACCTAGATATCTCAAACTGCAATATTGCTTATGGTACAATCACAAGACAAAAAATTATGCAGTCATTAAGAGTGCAGCATATAATTTGGGCAAGTGTTACAAAATAATATTTAGATTTTTAAAAAAGCAGAGTAAGAGCATATAAATGTTATAAGGCCAACCATGTAAGATCAAAGTTAGAAAGCAAGATGGAGAGAAGTATATTAGGATAGAGAAAAAGTGAAATAATAGAAGGACATCCCCTAAAATATTAACAGTGGTTATCCCTAGTACAATAGTTTGAACTTTCTTCTTATTTCTTTTCTTAACTTTTGGATTCTCTAGAATGAGAATGTATTCTTTCTAAAACTACAAAACAAACTTTTAAAAAGTAGCTTCATTGTGCCTCCCTGGTGGTATAGGAGTTAAAATCTTAGCTCTTTCAAGCTATCAGAACTGTGACAAGAGTTGGATCCTTAGCTAAGGACCTGACCCACATGGCACAGCAGACCTCTCCTGCTTTGCCAACTGCTCTCCTCAGCAGTGTATTTCAGTAGATCTGCCTTTTTAGCTCCCCACTCTGTCTCTGGTGAATCTTCTCACCTCCTCACACCTTTGGCCTACACCCCAGTTTTTCCCTGAATAAATAAATTAAAATATTTGTTAAAGTAGCTACCTCAAATTAAAGATATTTATGGAAAATTCCCTAGCAGAAACATATTATTTTAAATTAAAAAGGGTAACCTACCCAGACAGAAGCCCGAGAGAAGATCATCAGGATCAATATTATGACAAAATACCAAAGCAGGAAGTTCCCTATTGTTCCACAAGAGTCATCCTTCCGGCATTCATAATCCTGATTTGGAATGGAAAAACTTAAAGGAATAGGGGGAGGATCCACTTCCCAAAATAAGGAAAAAAGGTCCCCCATGATGACTTCTTGCTTCAAAATAAAACATACTCAAAGGGATGAAGATGTGTGGGAAGCGCTGCTCTCCATGGGCATGACAACTTCCTTGGCAACCTATTGTGACATACACTTCAGTGACTATGACACAATTGACAAATACCTCTTGGATTTCTTTGGAAGAGTTATCTAAACTACTTCTGTGAAAAAGTTTATATTTGCCACATATACCAATGAAGTATATGCTGCCTTAATCTTTTATTCTGATATTTGCATGTATGGTATCTGCTGTGTTCTTAACATCTCTGAGGTAGTCATTTAGCTCGTTGGTTTGTTTCTTCTGTTTGTATCATCGCACTGTATATTGACATATGTAATTCTGACAGGTTGTAGAGGAATTGTGTTTTCCAAGACTTAATGCTGAAGTCCTGACTGCCATTTCAAGTGTATCAGGACAGAGAGTCTTTCAAGAGGTAGTTAAGGTTAAATAAAGTCATAAGAATAGGGCCCTGATCTAGTGAAAAGACATCAGGGGGAAAGCCCATTGAGAACACAGCAAGCCAATGGAATAAGCCTTAGGAGAAAAACATGCCCACCTCACCTGCTTCCCTAGTGCCCTGCCTTCCTCCAGTCCTGCTGGCACCTTGATCTTGGACTTCCAACCTCCAAATCTGTAAAAAAAAAAAAAACAAAAAACAAAAAAAACACATTTTTTTTATTAAACCACCCAGTCTCTGCCATTTATGGCAATACTAGCAAACTAAAGCATAATACTAACTATATCAAATTTGATAGTAGTGTTCCTATGTAAGCTTTGAATAAATGCTCAAAAAGTATAAATTACATTAAGGTAATTTATTACCTTACATTGAATTCTTTAGCGATTGCATGGAAATATAGATGCGTCTGTTGTGAATCGCAACAACCTATACAATTTCTTCCCAGGAAAGAATCAGATATGGGATGGCAAGTCTATAAATGCCCTGAGGAAAATTGTTTCATTATTTGACTTACAACCTCTTCACACATACATTTTGAAAAATTTTTGTTAGTTTATGTCTAAATGTAACATAAACGCCATTGTTACAAAGGCAATGTAGAAATCCCTCCTAAAAAAAAACCAAACTATTGAATCCTTAAGAGTATAATATACCTACAGGTTTTCATTGTGCAAAACCATGAGAAAACATTGTTCTCCTTTCTTTGACTTTAGGAGCATTTTAGGAAAAATTTTGGTCATTGTGACATGGAGTAATAATGCTTTTGTTTGGGACACACTGTTCTGCTTCCTGGGCACCTGGGCCCATCGCCCTTCAGCACGCGTTCAGCCCGCTCCAACTCACTGCACCCAGTGCACCTGCACGCTCCTCTGGGCTGAGCACCTCCCTTGCTTTTACGCCCCTGCGCAGGGCTCAGTGGCACATTGTAGTCGTTTTATTAAACAAAACCCAACTGAACTCCATGCTGAACCTTTTCCTCAGGATCTGAAATTCCTACAACCAATATGCACTGAAAGTAAAGGCTCCCCTCCCCCAACCTCAAAACCATTAGCCACTTTAACAACACATTTTAGTTTTTATTACTGCTCCCTCATTACACGAATATTTACAATTTTACATCGGTCATAACACTTTTTTTTCTTAACACAGAAGTGTGAGAAGTGCTTTGTCGTTGCAAAGGGTATGTGGACACATTACCACGCACCCTGAAGCCTACAATTACCGCTTTGGTTAATAAAATCTACTTTTAAATGAGTCTACAAATGCCCTGAGGAAGCTAAAACTATATTACTATATCGAAATTCAGCTTGTTACAATTATTACTTTTTTACTGCGGGTTCAGAACCAGGTCTGAATTTTGCTGCCCAGCTTTCTCCTCACAGAAGAGAGGGAGGCACAAACCCGAGAGCTGTTTCCTTGGTAACGCTCCAGCCTCTGTCCCTCCTCCCCCCGCCTATCTCATCTTCTCGCGAGACAAGATAGTCTCGCTCTTCCGGTAACGATAGCCCAGCAAGCAGGCCGCCTTCCCCTTAGTTTGGCTTCGCGCATGTGCAGTAGGGAGTGGCGCGAGCCAGAAGCTTCCGGCCGAAGAACATGGTGCGTTTTCGGGGTCATGTTTGTGCTTCCTGGACGCAGAGTCCGCGCGGCACTTGGGAGTTTGGAGCCTGCGGATCTGCCTAGGGTTCAGCCAAAGTGGGATATGGCCAGGCGGCCCACCACCCGTAGTTGGAGGGAGGAAGGAAGCTATGGGGGTTGCTAAAAGTCTGTAATGGGACAGCAGGGGAGGGAAGTTCCCGCCTGGGGAGATGTGATGCGGGGACTGGGTGGCAGGCAGGGCCCTGCACGCTACTCAGTGGAGTACGACTCCCTGTAGCTGCAGCAAGTCTTAAATCTGTACGAGATGAAGCCTAACAGAACAATGGAAATGCAAACACCATTTATATGAACCAAACATGAATGCACACTTGCCCCCCACTTCGTCCTTTTAAAACTAGGAGTAGTCGACCTTCTGAAATTTAAATCCTGATAGTTTAGCAGCGACGCCAAGCAGCATACAGTGCTGCTATTTAGGATCTGACCAACAATGGCTTCCGCCTGAAGAGATAGGAGAGAGCTGTGGAGTACTTTGTCTCAAAACTTGGTATTTTGAGTTTCATGGATTAGGGCCTTGGCCCCCGTGACATAATCCAAAAACACAGTACAGACTAGTTGCAGACATAGTCACCAACCCTTAAATTACAAAAATGAGACATTTTTATTTCCTGGAGATAAATTGTTCTCTCAAGTGACCTGTCAGGTCTCTGTTGACTGCAAATGGCACCCATGAAATTGTACCCCAGGGGTTCCCTTTCATATATTAAAATATAAAACATTTTGGCACGACACATTAAAGATGAGGGGAGGTATGTGCAATTTTTAGTAACCTTTAGACACCATTTTGATTTCATAAATAGGGAACTATTTACTCTGGGTTAACTCTTGTGTTTTTTGTTTCTGAATAGATGCAAGGGGAGCCAAGTCCTAGTGCTTCCCTTATTGACAGAACCATCAAAATGAGAAAAGAAACGGAAGCTAGGAAAGTGGTTTTAGCCTGGGGACTCCTAAATGTATCTGTGGCTGGAATGATATATACTGAAATGTAAGTTAATTAGCCACCCCCCACTCTCACCCTTCTAGTGAAAATGTTAATGGAACCAATAGATTTGTCTGTGTTTTGATTTTTTTAGTTACTAAAAAGACTTTCTAATTGTTTCAGGACTGGGAAATTGATTAGTTCATATTATAATGTGACATACTGGCCCCTCTGGTATATTGGTAAGTAATTTCCACTGTAATTTAGATTTACTACCAATGAAAGGTTTCATTTAAGTTTTAGTTGAACTTAGTATTCATTCCTTCACTCAATAAATGTTTGCGAGCCTGCTGTGTTCCAGAATGTGGGACTACAACAGGAAGAGAACAGGGTCCCTCCCATCCTGGAAGGAATATTCTAGTTTACAGGAGAGAGTTAAGTTAGTAGTAACGATTCAACCAAGGTAATCATGGATTCTGTAAAGGAAAAATTTGGGGGTGGTGAGATTTGAATTTTTTACTTTCCTTGAAATGTGCTTCCTACCTCACCTCTGTAGTCTCCAGACCAGTTAGATGTCTACTCTCTTATGCCTGCCTTGGAGTTCTTCATTCCTTTCTGTCTGCTTCAGGAGACCTTGGATATAAAAAGTCCTTAAGGCTCTGAATTTTATGATAGGGAGGTGGGTGAGTGAAAGAGCAAGACATTTGGATCAGCAGGCCTGAATTAGAGTCACAGCTTCAGTAACTAGCCATATGTTGTACAAAAGTAATTTGAATTCTCTACAGCTGTTGATTCATTTTTACTTCAATCCATGAAGTGGTTATTGTGTAAAGTTGAAGGGTAAGAGATAAAATCACTACACAAAATGGACATTAAATGGTAGTTGAGAGGAATTAAGAGATAATGTTCAGTTTTCTGTTAATTTGCTAAAATAGGATTTTATTTCTTCCTTTAAAATGTTGAACCACCACTACAACCTACTTTTTTTTCCTAGTAAGTTCTATTCTCTTCCAGAACTTGCCCTTGCATCTCTCTTCAGCCTAAATGCCTTATTTGATTTTTGGAGATATTTCAAATATACTGTGGCACCAAGTCTGGTTGTTAGCCCTGAACAGCAAACACTTTTAGGTTTGAAAACAGCTGGTAAGTGTTTTATATCTCTTGCAAAGGTGGGGAAAAGGTTAGCAATAAATCTTTCCCAATTTAATTTTCCATTTCATAGACTCAGTGGGAAGGGACTTCTAAGGCCATCTGGTTCAACTATATTAAACAGGTCTATAATAAATTGTCTTAAGACCAATGATTATCATTCCTATTTGAATGAGTTGAGTGGAACTAACATTCAACAACCTGATGAAAGTTTGTTCCATTATTTAATTACAATTAAAATTAAATTACTAACTTGCTACATTAAAGCTAGTTTCTTATTTTGAACACTAAGGAAATAGTAAATAACTAATTTGTCCTTTGGTGATAATAATACTTTGTAACTTAACAATCAAGTCACTTTTCCTTTTCCCTGAAGAAAAGTTCCTTAAGTCTGTTCTCACAGAAATGTTACTGAGGGCCCTCCCTGGTGGCTTAATGGGTTAGAGCATAGCGCTTCAGTGTGAGTTCGATCCCCAGCCCTGGAGGTGACCCATATGGCGCGGCAGACCTCTCCTGATCCACCCACTGCTCCCCTCAGCAGTGTACTTTGTCAGTTGACCCCCTCTGCTCCCCACTCTGTCTCTGGTGAATCCTCTCACTGCCACTGCACCTCTGGCCTGTACCCCAGTTCTGTATGCATAAATAAATAAATCTAAAAAAAAAGAAATGTTACTGATACATGTACACACATCCTTTATTATTGTTTTTTTTCTAGTTGTACAGACTACTCCTCCACATGATCTGCCAGCAACCCAGCTTCCTTCCTCTCTCCCCTCGCCTTCAATTCAGGGACAGAGTGTGTTGAGTTATAGCCCATCTCGCTCACCTAGCACCAGCCCCAAGTTCACCACCAGCTGTATAACTGGATACAGCCCTCAGCTTCAAGGCCTGTCATCAGGTGGCAGCAGTTCTTACAGCCCTGGGATGACCTACTCCCCTGTCAGTGGCTACACTAAGGTAAGGACTCACATTATTTTGAAATTGGGAAATTATCATTAAGTTCAAACTCTTCATTTTATCAGTGAGGAAACTGAGCAGCAGTGGGCAATTGACTTGCCAAAATCATCCACTTAAGAGCCACAAATCCAACCCAGGTTTCTTGACACTAGTCAGAAGTTCTTTATACCACATCTTAAAATGAAAGAAAAAATGTGTATTTTACAAAGATAATGAACCTCAGTTCATCATCCAAGATCTTCCTGCAAGATCTTTTGAAGCTGAAACTATAATTTTTTTAGTTTCCTTTATCCATGTGCCTGAATTCTGTGTTATTTTATGTGAAACTTTTGTAAATCCTTACAGAATTTGTATGCTTGTCATCATGTTGGAGTATTATCTTAGCGAAAAATTAGGTTTATCATGTAGTGTAACTCATAAATGTGAGCACTTTCAATGGGATGTTTGGATTCAACTATGGGGGAAAACAAAAATAGTTTAAATTTTGTAGTAGTCAAATATGTCTTTTCTCATATTTGTTTCAAGTTTAGAAATTTCTAAACTTAGAACATTAGTTTTTTTCCAACCTCTCTATGACATATAAAATGTAGGTTTTCATGTTTTGGGTTTTTGCCAAAATAAATTAGTTATTCCAGTACTATATATTAAGTAAATTCTAGTTTCATCAATTTGTGATTCCTCCTTCACCTTATACACTCTTATGTATTATAGGGTCTTTTTCTGGATGGTTTCCATTCCCCTGCTGTGTATTTTAGTGCTGTATTTAATAATTTCATTATAATGAGTGTTAAATGAATTAACAAATAATGTCAAACATTATTGCTTGTTTTGTTTCAAAAATGGCTAAATGAGAGATTATACTTTGTTTGTACAGAGAAGAGTCACACCTACTACCAAATGCCAGGAAAATGTTTACTTTTAAAGAAATAATTTTTCCTTACTTTAGCCATTTTTCTGCCCTGTACATTGTTGAATTTACACATTACATGGAAAAAATATGAATTGAGATCTTTCACCTTATTAATAGTTCTTGTTTTAAAGTCTTAAATGATATATTAAGAAAATATCAAAAGAAAGTACAGAAGACACATTTATCAGGAAAGCACAAAAGTAAAAGTTAACAGTAGTATAATCAAAATACAATTTTAAGTTTTAAGGGAGAAAGCATTTTATTGGTGAAAAGGTCATTTTACATTGATCTAAGAAAGAAATCATAATAAAGATCTTATAGTTATGAGCCTTATATATTATGTAATGTAGCATAAACTCCAAGCTATGGGAAAAAAAGATAGGCTTTAACATTATCATTTTGTGTCCACTAAAGTAGGCAGCAAATTAGGATATGAAAGATTTAAGTAGTAACATTTAAGAAAATTATATCAATAACTATTGAATATTGCGTCTTCCTTTTTAAAAAATAATCATGAAATTAGACACTATATTTCTAACCAAAATATAAATAAAGCTACAAAATAAAAGTGAAGCCTTCAAAACACCATCCTTAGGATATCTTCTTGGATAAGATATTATAAAGATTTTCTTCTCATAGTTACCTATAATGTGTGTACAATCCAGTCAGTTTTAACCCCCCAACTTTTTGGTGTGTTTCTAGAGTTTACTTACTGGTTTTTAAATTACAGAAAATAAGTGAACCAAGAACATTTTGTGTAAGAATTGGGCTACTTTGCCTTTGATATTGAAGCTTAGTGATTATGCCTCTGAGCAAAAATAAACCAATTAATTAAAGACCAACATGCAAGTCATAGTACATATAAGAAGTTTGCATGTTAATTGAAATAACAGAGAAATCACTTTGAAAGGAGATTAGCTTTTATTTTCAAACAGCATTAAACAATTATAAGTTTTGGTATTCCTTAATTTATTACAAACTAGTAAAATTGATCATGAAACCCCAGTAGAAAGAAATGTATCAATGTGCCAAGTAAATAGTTAATAAAATAGGTAATACCCATGACTAGTAATTGTATTTTTAAAGTGTTTAACTCATAAGTATAAGGAAACACAAATTAAATGTTCATTTAAAATATCCTTGTATAGCAAACATTTTTAAATATTAATGTATTTAAAATATACAGCCAGGAAGAAAAGCATTTATAAAAGATTTTTATACAGGAATGCTTGGTTAACTTTTTTAATCCTCATTTATAAAGCCTACAAGTGTTATCACCATATGTTGACATAGCTATGTACATTTAAGTTTGAAAACATAGAACGTGAAAAAGGATAATTTTATCTCTAGTAGGTACAGTTGTGGGACTTATTGCTTCACATTTTCGTTTTCAAAATGTGTATTTTTTAAAAAAGTGGTCTTGTAGGAAAGTTTTAAGATCACAACTGATGGGGAAGGGTAGTTTTCACATATACCTGCTGTCCCCATATGGGAACAGCCTCCTCTTGTCAACATCCTAACCAGAATGGTCCATGTAACCCAGAGTCCGTAGTAATGTAGGGCTCACTCTTGGTGGTGTGTATTCCATGGGTTTGGACAAATACATGATATACATACCCAACTTTTTGGTGTCATATGAAGCAATTTCACTGCCTTAAAAATTCCTGGTTTTCCACCTGTTCATCTTTCCTTTCACCCCAGTCCTGACAACCACTGATCGTTTTTTACTGCCATCATAATTTTTGCCTTTTCTCATGGTTGAAATTGTAGTAGCCATTTCAAACTGGCTTCTCCTACTTAATGTGCATCTAAGTTCTCCATGTCTTTTCATGACTTGATGACTTGTTTCTTTTTATGCTGAATAAGATTTCATTAACCAGAAAGCTGTGCCACAGTTTATTTGTGCATTCATCTTGGTGGTTTACACATTTGGGTACTTATGACTAAAGCTGCTCATACACCCCGACGTAGGTTGTTGTGTGTGAGTCGGGTAAATACCAGTGAACACAGTCACTAGATTGCGTGGCAAGAATCTGTCAGGCTTGTAGAAAGGTGGCGGTCCTTTCGGTCCTTTCGACCAGCATTCCTCCCAGCAGTGACCGAGAGTTCCTGTTGCTCCATCATGGCTGGCTTTGGGTATTATCAGTGTTCTGGAGTTTGATCATTCTGCTTATGTTGCTTTTTAAAAGACAAAAATGAAGGCAAAAATACATTTCACTGTAAGAAAACAAAATTCTTCTCTTTTGTTTAGTTGGCAGGCTATAGCCCCTCTCCTTCTTCTCCATACCCTGCTACTGTTGGACCAGTGGAGAGCAGTGGATTGAGATCGCGCTACCGTTCTTCACCCACTGTCTACAATTCCCCTACGGACAAAGAAGACTACATGACAGACCTGCGAACTTTGGATACTTTTCTTAGAAGTGAAGAGGAGAAGCAGCATAGAGTTAAGCTGGGTACATGGTGTTATTTTAGATCTAATGTACATTTTTATGTCACTGTACATTAACCCTAGCCCACTATTTTCATTGCTTTGTTACCCACAATTGAGTTTTTAATTGTCTTTTTCTAGAGTATCTTAAGAGAAATGCATTTCGTTTTATATGTTAAGTGTTATGCCATTAGAATTAAGTTTGGGGCCTCCCTCGTGGGCATAGGGTTAGGTCTCATCTCTACAGCCAGAATTTGATCCCCAGCCAGGGAGGTGACCCACATGGCACAGCAGACCTCCCCTGTCTCACCGGCTGCTCACCTTAAGCAGTATATTTCAGTAGATCTGCCTGTTCTGCTCTGCTCTCTACTTTGTCTCTGGTGAATCACTTGCCCCCTCCCCCCCACCTGTGGCCTACACCCCAGTTCTTCTTTGCATCAAAAAAATAAAAATCTTGGCCCTCCCTGGTGGCGCAGCGGGTTAAAGCGCAGCACTGAGAACCTGAAGCCACTTCCGCATGAGTTCGATCCCCACCTGCCGCCTGCCCCGGAGGAGACCACATGGCAAGCCAGACCTCTCCTGGCCCGCCCGCTGCTCCCCTCAGCAGTGTACTTCGTCCATCTGCCTGTTCTGCTCCCCACTCTGTCTCTGGTGAAGCCGCTCGCCGCCCCTGAGCCTCTGGCCTGTACCCCAGTTCTGTATGAATAAATAAATAAAAAAAAATATTAAAAAAAAAAATAAAAATCTTAAGAAAACAAAAAAAAAGAAGAGAGATTTTAATTAAGAAGTAAAATGTAGGTGAGCTGAATAATCTTGAGCCAAAAGATGGAAGCATTTTCAGACAGTGCAAGTTAATAATTTCTACTTAGTAGCTGAGGTATATAAAGTGTTCTTGAAGTGGCTCATACCAAATTTGAAGTGCTGTTTGGGTCCCCTTCTGGTAGTGCTTTGGGAGGTTGGTGTGGCAGGGGAAAGCAGAGGTTGATTCTAGAAGTGCTGCTGTTTTTCAAAAACATTTTTGAACTCATCTTTAGTTTACCTTTGGAAACAATGTTAGCAAGTCTTAATCTATTTGGGGTGGATTTGATTATTACAAAGTCAATTATTTGAAACCAAATTACATTATTGAACCGAGTAATGATTTTTCCCCCTCAGGAACTTTGACAGAAAGCACATTAGGTGCTAAAGCGTGGTCACGATGAGGAAGCAGGTTATTGGACCATGACTCTTTGTGTCACTTGAAATCTCTCCATTGATTTTTAATTTAATTTTGCCTGAAAGTGCTACAAATGTCAAAGAAACAAATCAATATTATCTTGTTATTTGTTGATACATGCTTTTTCTTGTTTCTAAAAATTTGAAATAGTTCATGTCTATTGGAAATTATAAAGAATAACAGAGTACAGCTTCTGTATTCTCTACACATCTTTTTCATATCCAGATATTTTCTCACTTCCAATTTTATTTTTTCTTTAACCTATATTGTTAGTGTTGCTTTAACTTTCAAACACTAAATGAAAGCTTTATTCTTTTTTCATCTCTAAGTGATTAACGTACTGTGAGTAGAGTTTCTGATATGTACCTTACTAATCTTGGGATATTTTTTGAAAATTGCATTTAGACCTGCTCTGTGACCTCTTTTTACAGATGGTTCTCTATACTGTGAATGCATAGCCTCTAAATTCTGGTTTCCATATGTGTTCATTGAATCAAACTTCATAATGGTATTCTTAAATTCTTTGTCTTTTTAATTTTTGCCTGCTTAATCTATTAGTTACTAAAAAAGGGTACTTAAAGCTCACATCAGTTGTCTCCCTTAAATGTCTTCTCTTAATTAAAAACTAGCTAAATATTTGGTCAATGGAAAAGTCATGATGCATTTTTACATAAAGGAAATAACGCCATGACTTTCCCGACAACGCATAAACATATATGAAATTTTTATGAGACTTTTTGCCTTTAAGTCTATTGTGTCTGATGTTAACACAGCTATACTAATTTTCTTTTGGTTAGTGTTTGCCTGGTATATTTGTATCTATCCTTATATTTGTGACTGTTATATACCTTTAGGTTATGGGTGTTTTGTACAAATTAATATACAAATAATAAGTGTTTTTGAGGAGTTGCTTTAAGACTATACACATGTCCTGTTGATCATCAAATTTTAATTTACTAGTATTAACACTTTAAGATTGTTTTCATAATTGCTATTGGCCATCATAGGTGGCTTTGTAATACAGCATTCATTCTATACTGATCCTTTTTTATTTTTTTGAACATTTTTATTCTGATAAAATGTGCATAAAGTTAACCCTTTTTTTAAGAATATAATTCACTGTATTAAGTACATTCATATTATACGGCAACCATCTTTTACATTTATATCTTGGCATTCTACGGTTAGAAATTTTCCTCCTCCCCATTATGTCATTTTAATTTAATGTTTAGATTGTCTCAGACTTGGCTAGTGGGATTCTCATTAAACTAATCTCTATATACTTTTAACATAAAGCCATCAATCTTTGAGGCCTTTTTTTTTTTTAGCTTTGCAGCATCACAAGATAGCCATTCTGGGCTCACCTTGTATTTCCTCTGGCTAACTAGCTCTGGTGTCAACCCGTTTCTCCAAGCAGTTGCAATTCCTTTCAGTGGTGAATATTTAGAAATGAATGTCTGGGTACTGGATATGCCATTGTTGATGGGTTTTATTACTGTAGATTCTTTTAGCAGCCAGCTAAGAAGTATATATATTCATACAGAGAAACAAAAACATATAAATTCACACACATTCATGTCTTCATCATGACTTTCTAATATTCTTGTTTCTTCTACATTTAATAGTTTGGCATATTTCTATAAAAAGCTCTCTGTTTTCCCCCTCACCCCACAGTCTTGCATTGTGCTTACTTTACCCATGGTTAGCCCTGGCTTTAGCTGTTTGGTTAATTAACTCCACTTTCTTGTCAGTTTTGTTCTCATTTTTTTCCAGTTTAATGTGGTTCCCTTTCAGATATTTCTGATTTTTTTAGAGTACCTTGTTAGGTTTTCAATTCCTTAAAATTTTCAATCATCTGAAAACGTACTTTGTAAAAATCTCTTTCTGGTAGTTCAGTTAGCTAAAGTTAAATACAACTTTGTTTTTGAAAGTTAAATATAAATATTTTTGGTTTTTTGACTCTTGTGCATCTTACATGCTTGTTTCTTTGCGATTTACATATTTTGATGTTTGTTTTGGTATGTTGATCTTCAGTACTGTTTGAAGTGTGTTTTTTTTCTATCCTGGGCAGCTGGGTGGGCGGGAAGTTATCTCTCCTAGCAGTTTTGTGTGTGTGCTTGGCAGGTGCTTAAATCGTATCATTGATCTTGAATTAACAATAAACTTCTAGACATGAAGGTTCCTAGACCTCAACAAGTGGTGTAAGTGGGGACTCTAAACCCACATGAAGGCGGATCTGTACCTTTTAAATCTCAAAGATTTAGGGGAAAAAATCTCCCGACGACCTGAGATAATTTTCCTTGTTATCGCTGGTGCCACTGGCGATAATTTTTCTGTGGCCCTTTGAGATTCTTAACCCTATGCCAGTGAAGGTGGAAGAAGGGTCTGATCCAGTTCTTTATCTCTCCTGGGTCCACTTTTTTACTTCCCTTTTCCACTTGGACTCCGAAATCCAAGACTATAATTCCTGCAAAATTCTCCGGAGCCACCACAACACCAGTTCATACGTAGCCACTCTGTTTTCCAATTCTTTCTTCATTTTAACCACTGACTATTCCACCTTGGTTTTTACAAGTTCTGGTTGTTTAAATAATGTGGCTTATTTAGTAAACACTTGTAGGTATTTATAGTGAGAAGTATTTTAGTTCCCAGCTCCTTATGTTAGAATTCCAAATCTCTTGTATGCTTTGATCCTAAGTCTGTGGGGTTCTCCAGCTGGCTGTTTTGTTGTGATTGTTACTATAGGGAGGCCCTGTTTTGTTAGTGACTCTCTATATATTTTACTTGTACATTGGCAAATATTTAACAAGTATTAAAACCTCAATTCTGTCATCTTACTTCTTTATTCTTTAAGCTTTGTAAAACTTGTTCCATCATCTAAAACTGGTATTTATTGAAAGTTTTCTCAAGGTTCAGGATTTCTTTCAGAAAGCTTGGTTGTCATTTTTAAAGGTAATAGTCAAATGATTAATCAAAAAGGAGAACCTCTGTTCTGTTGTGAACATGTCTCTTACTATCTTTTTTTATTCCTTATTTATTCAATTTGTATTGCTCTAAAGTTTCCTTTCATGACATTAATTTGTTACTGTTAGTCAGAAGTCCTACTTGGAAATTTAACTTTATGCTTAGTGTGTAGTTTGTTACTCTGATTATTTTATCCCAAATGAATTATATTATTAGTCATCTAAGCTACTGTACAAGACTCATTTTCAAAGGCTATGGCTTCATTTTTGAGACTATAAATTGAAATACTGCCACATACTCTTTCCATGATTTCTTATCCTTTCTTTAAACAGCAGAAGAAAATCAGTTTTATTACTTTATAGGTATCCCTTTTAGAAATTCTGATAAGATTATTTTTTTTAAGTATCTTTTTTTTTTTTAAAGATTTATTTATTTGTGCATACAGAACTAGGTTACAAGCCAGAGACTCAAGGGTGGTGAAAGACTTCACCAGAGGCAGAGTGGGGAGCAGAACAGGCAGATCGACGAAGTACACTGCTAAGGGGAGCAGCGGGCGGGTCAGGAGAGGTCTGCCACACCATGTGGTCTCCTCTGGGGCAGGTGGGAATCGAACTCATGCGGAAGTGGTTTCAGCTTCTTAGTGCAGTGCTTTAACCCGCTGTGCCACCAGGGAGGGCCTGATAAGATTATTTTTAAAAGAATTGGCTTTTTATGAGTTTTATATGTATATTTGAGGTGTCAGTAAATGCTTTGGGTAAGTGTTAAATTCAGGAAAAATAAGTCCTTGGTAAGGGTCATATAATTGTCTTTGAAAACATGCTACTAATTCAGGTAGTAGACCAGATGCTAGGGAGAGCAACTTTGCCCTTAAGGAACTCAAATTCTATTTGAGAAAAGAGACAAAATAACCTCAAAGTGTTATAAGTACTATAGTAGAGCTCTCTATGAGATTAGGTCTCTGACTATAATTATTTGTATTTCCTCAAGTGTATTTACAAATTTAGAGTGCAGTCAGTCTCTTTGAATACAGGAATTACTTCAGGCTATGAATGCAATGTAGTTTAGTACATGGAATAGTAAGTTTAACTGCTAGTTCAAAGAGTAGTTTATAAATAGGAGACTGTAGTTATCCCATTCAGAGCTTCTAAAAATGCAGGTATTCTTAGCCTATTTATTTCTTCAAGAAATTTGTCTTTTGTTTGTCACTAAATCATTTGAAAGTCATACAGAATGAAACCAGCTTAATTTACAACAAAAACAAGCAGATAGCAGATACTGTCAGCCGGTCACATGTTGTGGTTTAATAGTAATGTAGTGACTATTAAATTGATACTGCTCAGAAAATGTTCCTAGCACAAGCAGCCTGTGTTCTCTAAGGAAGAGACAGTGTCCGGGAGAAGAGAAGATCCTTAAGGTTTGATCTTCCTTGATTGCACTCACCTAGGCACCTGGGAACCCAGTATTATGTGCCAGCTTAAGGTGTAAACATTTCTGTAACAAACTGATGCTCTTTCCATTGATTGTTGTAGGAAGCCCAGATTCTACCTCACCTTCTACCAGTCCTACTTTTTGGAACTATAGTCGTTCTATGGGGGATTATGCACAGACTTTAAAGAAGTTTCAGTATCAGCTTGCTTGTAGATCTCAGGCCCCAAGTGCTAATAAAGATGAAGCTGATCTCAGCTCCAAACAAGCTGCAGAAGAGGTGAGTGGGGAATAAAAATGACTTAGTATTTGTGATTTACAGATTGGTAGAAACTCTGGAAGCATTTTTTCCTATCACCTCCACTTCTACTTCTAGATTTACAAGCCTAGAAAATGGAAAGGCTCCTGCCTTATAAACCCAAAACTGTATTATTGTGTTGACACGTAGTTGACATTAATGTCCTGTGTAAAACATTTTTCTGCTCTCATGATCAAGACTCACATATCTAATTGTACTTGATAGAACCAAAAATCTTGCTTTTAAAATACATTTGGATTAGAACACTTGACAGTCTATAACTTCATCAGTTTGATACCGAATACAACACGTTAATTTTGTTTTTAAAAGTAAGAACTATGTTCCCCTTCCCTGAACATACTAAAATAAGGAATTGTTATATCTACATGAATAACAACCAAGTTGGTAATAAGAATATCATACATTGCATAAATATTGATGCTATGAGGATTTTTTTCCCCAAAGCTTTCACATAGTTGGGGGGAAATAAGGACTGATTTGTAAGAAATCAGTGATTGTTCATTTTAAACATTTTTAATAGGTTTGGGCAAGAGTGACTATGAATAGACAACTTCTTGATCATATGGATTCATGGACAGCCAAGTTCAGAAATGTAAGTTGTGACATTACTCCTTATGCAACATTAGTGCCTGTTAATATACAAGGTGTGATATTAGAATATCAATTAGTGTTCAATTATTGGAATATCAGAATTATTGTTAAAATTGTTTTTTAGGTGGTACACCTATAAGGCCAAGATGACTTTTATAAATAATAATTGTTTTTTCATTGAGGTAATAATATTTGTATAAAACACCCTATATAATTCAGATGTATGGGCTAACATCTCTTCAGATACTTGTTACCACTCCACATCCATCAGCGAGGCACCCATAATCCTCTGCCATTAGACCCCCTCCATATTTTGCTACCTACTCCCTATCTTCTGGTAGCCTTAATTGTGCTGTCAGAGTTGTAGGGTTTAAAATATAACATTTGTCTTAAGGTATTCATTTTTGTGGGACTTTTTCCCCTCCACATTTAGCGAATCATTGTATCTTGAATTGCTAAAGGAAATTAAGGTCACCTTTTCCATATCTCAATTTTAGTTTTCAAAAGCTTTCCTGTCCAGTCTACTATGTATCCAGAATTATAAGGGAAACAAATATGGGGGTGGGGAAGGCCAGCTGTGCCTGGAGAGCGAGGCCCCCATTTCAGCGCTGCCTCTGTGTCCCACTCTCAGTGGCATCTGTGTGGTACCGGCCCTGCGGGCAGGCTGCCCTGCCCCGCTACAGCAAGCCTCGGCTATAGTCACTGCAGGCTGCTGCTTTGCTTCTTCCACAGTTTCATTCTTCCACACACAGCCCCACTCTGCAGTTTCTAGAAACATATTAAAATTTGTACTTCTTTTTTAAAATTCTTGTTATTATAACTTAAATAGGATTCAAGAGGGAGTGGTGAAAAAATAGTAGCCTACTTTCTGAAACCAATAACCTGGATGGCTTTTAAAAAGTAAATTTCTGGGCCCAACTCTAGAACTATCCAGGAAGTCCAAATGTCTCGCCAGGACTCCTTAGATCATTTCTTTGCAGCCAAAGAGTGACTGGCAGGTAGGATGCATTTAATAAATATTGAAGATTGAGTGGGTGAAATAATCTCCCAGAACTGTGTTCTTTCTGTTTCTCCTTACAGTTTTGTAAAATGCTAGTATATGTAACATATGAAATCTTGGTTGGGAATATTAACTTAAAAGAATTACAAGCACAGTCCCTTATCTGAACTCCATATATATGTATATACCCTGTATTTTTGTAATAACACTAGTGGAATGGTTAAATACTCAGTAGTCAACCACATTACTGTTTCTGCAATAAAGCAAGTGAATAGTCACACTAGGTGGGAGAAAGTCTCTAAGTAGCTTTATGAGGATTCAGGTGCAGATCTTGCCAACATAGCAAATTTCCTTGCTAAGTGGATTACAAAAAAAGTTTTTAGGCTTTTTTGTTGTTGTTGTTGGTTTTTTTGTTTTTTTTTTTTTTTAAGATTTGTTTACTTATGCATACAAGAACTGGATACAGGCCAGAGATGTAGGGGGTTGAAGGATTCACCAAAGACGGAGTGGGGAACAGAGCAGGCAGACTGGCTGAAATATACTGCTGAGGGGAGCAGCCGGCAAGACAGGAGAGGTCTGCTGCGCCATGTGGGTCACTCCCTGGCCAGGGATTGAACTGGTGCTGCAGCGGCTGCGGGTCAGCTTCATAGAGCTTCATAAGTGCTGTGCCTTAATCCCTTGCATCACCAGGGGTGGTGGTGGTTTTTAATTCAGAATTTTGTATAAGGAATTGTAGGCTAATGTTGTTTCCTTCCACTTTTTAGTTAAACAGAAACATGGAAACAAGTAGTGATTACAGTTGCTGTGAGCACACATAAAACACATGACACACCAGCAAACCAGATGGTGTTTCCTTGGATGAGTTTGATATTAGCCTTGCAAATGTTGTTTAAAAACCCTGAGTCCTAAAGTTATATAATATTCACACACTAGGTTCAAGTATAATAAATTGACTTTTCTGTGGTTAGAGAATTGGATTAGCCTGCTGGAAGTTAATCAAGTATGTTAACTTGAAAAACTATCTGACCACAATCAGTATAATCACTACATGAATAAATGTTTGTGTAATTACCCTAGAAATGTAAACTGAAGATTATCCTTTAGCTAAGTATAATAATCATAAAATTTAAGAAAAACTTTACAGCCAAATGTTTCATGTTCCCTTCTGAAAAAAATAGGCATATGTGAGTTAAACCTATTACCTAATTATCTAGACCTCAGGTTACTGCCACTTCAATCCTCTTTCACTATGCTTTGTTAATTTTCAAATATTAAACAGTTAATTCATTAAAATAATTGTTTTGCGAGCTAACTTAGAGTTATGTGTGTAAAATCTTTAATTTCTTACTAGTGGATCAATGAGACGATATTAGTGCCACTTGTGCAAGAGATTGAGTCTGTCAGCACACAGATGAGACGGATGGGTTGTCCAGAGCTACAAATAGGAGGTATGTGAAAAGAGAGCACTTGATTTACCTTTAAACAGTCTGCCAAGTGGAAAATTCTTTCTTGTAATGAGCTATTTAACCACTTTCTATCTTGAGGTGAACAAAGTATTTGAATCTTTGTAATATCATATCTGAATCTTTGTAATATCTATAGGGTTTTTTAAGTAGGATGGTTTACCAAGATACGATTTACACACCAGGTAGTTCATCTGCTTAAAGTCTGCAAATCCAAGGTTTTAAGTTCTACAACCATCACCACAATCATTTTCCAAATGTTTCATCGTCCAAAAAAGAAACCTAGTTCCCTTTAGCAGCCGTCTCCAATTTCCCACCACCACCTGCCCCTAGACCTAGGCAGACATTTTCCGAGCCATACACAAAAATCCTCACCATAAAAACTGTTTACAGATTTGCCAAAATGGATTTGAATACTGCTTTTGGAGTGTGTTTGTGTGGTTTTAGGTTCTAGATAAACTAGATAATGCAGAATGTTAGATGAGCTATTACTGTTTTCACTTACTCTTCAGTACCTCTTGAGTACCTGTTCTGTGCTAGGACCTATTCTAGGTTTTGTGGACATAGCCGTGAGCAGAATGCCACACATCTCTCCTTCATTAAGCTTTCCTGCTAACAGGTGAGCCAGGCCATAGACAAGATGAATAAGGTATATTATAGTGGCTAGTGCTCATGAGGAAAAAGAACAGGAGGGCTTGCTCATTGATCTGGAGGGAAGTGATGGTCTGGGCAGACTTCCCCATTGTGTAAAGACGTGAAGGCAGAGAGCACCCACCTATTGGAATACATGAGGAGGAGTATTTTAAGTTCTTTTATTGGAGACTCACGTAAAGAGTAGTAATCTGTGTTCTGTGTGTTTTGTTTACAACAGAGGCTAGTATTACTAGCTTGAAGCAAGCCGCTCTGGTCAAAGCTCCTCTCATTCCAACTTTAAACACCATCGTGCAGTATCTAGACCTCACACCCAATCAGGAGTACTTGTTTGAAAGGATCAAAGGTAACTATTTATTGAGTTTGAAAAAAACCAAGCATCTTTTCATTACCTTGAGATTTTATATGTAAAGATAATTAGGGAAAATTATTATTATTTTAATAACAAATTTATTTTTGCATCATTTTGTGCCTTTTTCCATCTCAGTTGTAATCCCCTTGGGCTTCCCATCACCAAATTACTGGTGTGCCATCACCATAGTCCAGTGCACTTCTCCCTTCCTCCCTTCCTCTCCCCCCACCCCCCCC